TACATGTGACGATACACTAAAATCTAGACAACGAATACTGTTTTATCAACTGAGCAGCAGGACTCCTGAGGCGTACGTGGTCGACATTTAGTCAACTTCTGATTCCAGACTTTTCTGGTGAAAGGACGATTAACATTTGTCGATACAGGAGTAGAGTTTCGAGATTTCAAACTTGACTATGACTCGTTAAACGAGATAAGGGAAACATTATCGATACGAGCACTCAGGGTGGTGGAAGCCCCAGAGATTAGCCACCCCTGTCCACTTAATTTGGTGTCAAATATATAGCTTGAAGTAGGAAAGAGAATCAATTCTGCTGAACATTCTCAACGGCAATCGTTTTGTCTTCCCGCACGAGATAAGAAGGAGTGCTTGAGTACGTATGATCAACTAATAATTATCATACACATTGTTCGCATCCTGTATTGTTTCGGAAACATTCTATGAATCGAGAAGCTATTTGCAAATTTTGTGAAATCCTCTTAGCAGTTGGGATTTAAGTTCTATTTGAACGTATACAACAAAAGTAGACTTACACCTTTACTCTTATAAAAACATTATTTTTTCGTTAGAGTTATAATTTGCTGCACTTCACTGTTCTTCGAATTAACAACTCAAAGTCATACTCCAAAAGTGATATCTCTGAATCCATTCTTCACCTTCATCTGTTAGTTAACCTTACACCTATACAGAAAAAACGGCTGCAAGGCAGGAAAACCTTACCCTATTACCCCAAACAATAAAATAAATTCTCTGGAATCCTGGAACTCTGCCACTGTTGGTCGGGAAAACGTGAATGCTTTTCTAAATGCTCTGAACTATTCTCTATTATTAGAAAAACATGTGTCCAAATGAGTTTTACGTTTTCTTCATAGTAAGTTCGTTTGTTTTACCGATACGCTCTACAATTTAGCAGGAATCGAATTTACAAATCAAAACAAACCGACTTTGGTTTGGTTCGAGGTTCGGTCGTTAGTATTTTTTTTAGTTCGGCCGCAATTCAGTTCGGCAAAAAATCTCCCGGTTCAGTTCGTCGTCGTCAGAGCTGTCACAAATCGTTTAAAAAACGATTTAAATCAAAGATCAAAGAAGCATTCCATTTTAACAAATGATTTAAATCAAAGATACTTTTGTAAGAACCATATTTTAGGGTAGTCCTTAATAACGAAAAAGTAAAATGTCAACGCAACCCCTATTTGATAAATGTGGCAAGCTGACTGGTCAAGTATGCGCGATTCTGCACATATGGGTGCAAGGGTCTTAAGGGATCGTGTTAACTGTTAAGGCAGTTAAGTTGCGTACGCGCTCTGGTCACGATCGTATAAGGGATGCTAGGTAGAGCATCGGACGTTAGTGAGTTTGGTGTAATAGCTCTTTATTGTGAGTGTCTCCCACGCGTAGGTGGTGAGTGTCTCCCACGTGTAGGTGGTGAGTGTCTCCCACGTGTAGGTGGTGAGTGTGTTGTGCAGGCCATCGTGCTGGTCGTGCTTTGTTGTTGGGCTATGGTAAAACCCCTGGCAGATATCCGGATATATTCCTAGGCTTTTAGAGTGCATTATGTGCATGTGCCTATGACGCGGTCCCGCGGGTAGCTCCCGTTGATTATACCGCTGAGTGATCTACTCGCTCGAGTAGATCATGGTGTCGACCCAATACGAAACATAAAGGCCTCATTGTTAACACAAACAGTTCGGGGGTGAGCTCGACCTGGATGTCGTTCCCAGGTAGGGCAATGAGTGACATAGATCGACGTTACTGATCTATTGGCCGAGGGTCCTAGTCAGAGGGCCAAGGCGGGATGTGTATCCTAAATAATACACGTGCGCGCGGCGTAACCCTTTCCCAAATAGGTATGAGCTCCATCTTAACCCTTCAGGAAACCATCTCCAACGACACATTCAACCCCAATCACCAACCGGAGTGTTCGGAAGTTCCAGGAGAGCTTAGTGACAGTTCGGGGCTAACGCCCCCCGGTGAGTTACCTAATTGATTAGCGAGGATCGCGGTTAAGCAGTCGCGATGTTTGTTTACATGACCCTTTGGTGCGGAAGACGACCAGTCAGACTGAATGCTGCCATGCCAACCCCTTACGCGTAGATTACAGAGGGACGTTTCTAATGAAAGGTGAGTTTACAGTAGATTTGTCGCATCTTAATAATGAGTTCTGACCAACAATTAGCTCCAATTTAATTAGCGATTTCCCTTGTTGATATATAATAGGCCCCCCCCCCCCATTACACTTTTGTCAATAAGAAAGTATTTAGATAATAAATCATTTTGTGATTTAAATATTTTTTGTGATTTAAATCTTTTTAGAAAGTATTTAAGATACTTTCGATGTATTTAATTCATTCAAAAAGGTTTAAATCTAATTTTGTTAATTTAAATCACGTATAACGATTTAAATCATGTAATGATGTAATGATTTAAATCTTTTCCGATGATTTAAACGTTTTATGACAAAAGGTTTGTAAAGGATTTACATTCAATAAAACTGATTGGTCTGATGATCTTGCTCGAAACCCTCAACATCATTCATCAATATACCTACCATTTCTACCGTATTTTATTGTTATTATTTATTAAATTAAAATATGTACCTATTTTTTTGCGAAAGAAATTTTAAAAAACCAAGACATCGTCAATCTCAGTATACTCGATTTTGTAATAAATACGTATAAACGTCTACCGAAATAAAACCCGGATTAATTAGCTTAGTCAGGTTGAAACAAATCAAGAGAATTTGTTAGTATGTATTAACTAAATCGTCTCTAAAAGATTTAAATCACTGGGAAACGATTTAAATCTTTTCGAAAGTATTTAAATCTTTTTAAAAGATTTAAATCATATTTTTAAGTTCAAAATCAAAGATAATTTTCATGAAGATTTAAATCTTAAATCAAAAATCATTTTCCGTAAAAAGATTTAAGATCAAATGAGTTAAATCGAAAAAAGTATTTAAATCATAAAAAAGATTTAAATCTTATTAAAAGTGACAGCTCTGGTCGTCGTGCATCACTTTAAAGGACTTAAACCCTCAGTCAAGCGCGTGACTATTTAGAATAACTTACGACAAATTATTATATTATTGTAATCCCAAAAGGTACCTTGTAAATTTAGTTGCGACACGAGAGAGACTCTTACTGTTAAAACATTAACACGCTCCCTTCAATAACTAGACAAAACAGTAGATGGATGCTTTCTTAGCCTGTACGAGGTAAGTAATTAAATCTACAATAAATACACCTAATTTAATATACGTAACGATTAATTTACAATATTTGTGTGATCTCATCATAAGTCTTGCAATAATAATGAAGCTTCAAATTACAAGGAGCACAATTAACTATTAACAGTGTTTGTGCAACCAAATTGAGCCGCTGTAAAATAGCAAGCAAATTATGACGCCATTATAAATTGAAATAAAAACGTAGGTTTAATTAAGCTAATGAATTAAAATGTGTACAATAAATAAGTGGGTAATTAAATATACGTAACCGTTATCACGCACATAAGAAGGTGTTTGGAACTTTTCGAGGGGATCAAAAATTTAGCGAGGCCGGCAAGTGAAACAACCAACTAACTTGTACTCACAAGAGTATATTTACACAAGTTCTTCGTTTAGTTTTAGCACGAAGCTCACGTATTTTTTAGTTAAGCGGTATTAATAGATAAGACCGCGTCTCGTCAACTTTGATAATGTTTTAATAATGAGGGCGAACTATAGGTAGTCTCGAAAAAATGAATTGGTTAGTACATAAAAATATTGAACGTTTTATTATTTGGTATGCCTTTAATGTAAGTAAACACGAACTGGCAACAGTTTATGTGTGCCTACAACTGTGATATTGGTCATAGTTGATTACATACTTCCAGAACGATTGTGGGTACTCATAGAGGAAAAGTGGGTGGTCTGGAAGCGACAAAAAATAAATCCAAATCTCGAAGTGTCAGCCTAGCCTCAACTTACTACATTATACGAAAAGCAAAAGTGGGCGAGTGCTTCCCAAGAACTTTCGCACTAAATTGTAGTTTTTCATTGTAGTAAGACCTACAAACAATTGAATTTTTCTTTTACTCGCGACCCCCCTACTTACTGTTCTATAGCATATTAAGTGAAAGTTTGTGTATAAAAGATAGTCCCCCCAAACTCTTTTTGAGCCCTCTCATAAAATTCCCTCCGATTATGTACTTGTGGGTCAAAGTAATGGACTAAACCTCGAGTATATGAAATTTGCTTAACTTCCATACGCCAATTTGTTTGACCTTACGAAGACATTCACTTCTCTTCCAACTGGTAAGCGAATTTTGCCATTTCCTTGACAAATCTGGCAAATGGATTAAGTTTTGGATAGTTATTGGTTGAAAATCTCATCGTACACCATAATATCATTATACAGGGTAATAGATTTAAAACTTTCAGGTGACATTTTTTTCTATAGATTTTGATAGCTTTCGCTAAAAACCTGGCATAAAATAGTACTCAATGCTTAGGAACTTTTAATAGCTCGAGTTTCTATACGAGCAGAACAAATTTAATAAGAAATTTATCTGGAGGGTGGTTTACAACAGCCATCGTTACCTTACAGTGATGAGTGAATTAATTAAAACGCTTGGTTCTTCCCCCAAATTTGAATTTGTACCTACCCAAATATTTCTCCCGAACTTCGAATTTGTTGACTTAAAATCCACGAACCGCGCACGCAGTTACCCCAAAAAATGCATTTTCGCGATTACATACCATGTTCTGTTGTAAATGACCTTATTGCCAGGAATTCGCGATTTGGAAAAGAATTTAAACCGTCGATTGTATTTGTTATCGATATAGCATCGTTGGTATGTACATACAGGACTTTGAAACTATTGTCTTACCTTTCCTGCTCCCTTTTATTAATGTGATAGAAAGAAAAACGTTTACTATTTGTTTATTACGCCTATCCCGCCCCTTTGCACACGTGAACAGTGTCTGCATTTATAGCAAACCGAACACGATGATTGATTCAGATTAAACTTAAATTTGCTCCGATACGTAACAAACTATCACCATGTCTTTTTTTGCAATTCTTCTAAATAGTGGTGCGACTAGTGAGGGAGTTGATATACTGGATAACACCACAGAAGGTAGATATTAAGTTTAGATTTCATTATATTTAATATTTTTGAATAAAGGTCCATGGATTGAAGTTGCTCAGCAAGTTGAGGATACCGCGTTATACGTTATACTCTTTTGGAACGTACTGTGTCTGCTTACAGTTATTCTTTCTGTCCTACTTTATTTTTACATCATCCATCCAAAACCGGTTTATATTAAAAATGACAAGAAAGCTCCTGTGGACAGCAAGAAGTAAGTATAAACTCTTTCATAGCAATACATAACATATTTGTTTTAGAGACCAGAGGAAAATAAAAAACATTTTAAAAATTGGCGAACAACCGGATATATACGTTGTGCATCTTTCAGGTCCACTAAGGTATTTCTTTCTGATTTTACGTATGTTGAGCCTAACCCTTATTTTTAGTGACAAGAAAAATGGGTGAATTTGATATCTGATGAAGAACTACTAGTCGTGGCCCGTGGGTTAGTTATAGATACATCGTAGCCGTAGTAATTTTTATTGGGTATAATCTATTTTAAACTGTTTTCAAAGTGTAACTGATATAATCAATAAATGTAGTTTCATTACTGGCGATAATGATTGTGAGGATGTGTTAGATTTCAATGCCTATTTATACAAGGCTCAGTATTACGGACGTCGATAAAATGCGATAACATACCTCCATTATCTACCAGTAATTAAACCGTAAATTCTTTGCCATTTTACTTTTTTTAATCTCAGATCTTTATCCTGAAATCTGAAATCCTTAAAATTTCAGTTGTGCGGACTATGGACCACAAAATATCCTCCGAACTTGTAAACAAACAGTAAATCCTTACACCTGCATCTCAGCATCATTCAACATTACACACTTGTCCATTTTAATGAAATAGTGTAAACAAGTTAGTTCGAAAAACACGGAATAGAAGAAAAAATGTATAAAGTTTTAAAATTTTGGCTATGAACTGTCAGTAGGGACCCAAATACAGATTCGAAGAGTTCCTACTTCCCCGGTGGGAGCTTCATCCCCTTTCGCCTAAAAAACCATCCCCAATCGTTACCTCGCGATCTTTTTCGGCGTTCGTAAACCACAACTTCTACGCAAAAATGTTATAGGAATTTTTATATTCTCCGTTAAATTCTCTATAAAAATGTTCCTTTTTGTTTTTTGCGCATCTTCCACCCAACGCTCGTAAATGACATTGGGAAGTAAGCACAGTTTTCAGCGCGAAGAGAAAAAATGAGCCCAGCGTCGTATTATTATAACAATGTTAATCTGAGCAAAGAAATGCATAGAATCAAAATTAAAAAGCAGTTTTGTTCTCTACAATGCTAACTGTAGTTTTTGATGGATACAGCGAGAATGAGGAAAGAACAAAGAGTAGTGAACGTCAGCAAAAGCTCCTAAAACGGATATCTGCAGAAATAATTTATTTTCGATAAAGACAGCCAATTTGTGATTCGCATAAGAATTTGATGAGTATGCTTGCCAATAAACAGCGTTTCATTGGTTAACTGACTAGTACCATAGAATCAGCAAGTATTTCGACATTCGCTGCTATCGATGATGCCGACTTGCTAATTGTTCAGACTGCGATCCATGCAGCCAACAATTATGAAAAACCTGTTATTGGGAAATATATTGATTTGCTAACACTCCTTATCGCTTTTGCTCCATCGGACTTCTGCCTTTTTTTGGGAAAAGAAAATCGCAGACTATAAACTTAATAAATTCAAGAAAGGATTTACAGGGAGTGGTTTTTTGATCAAATTTCTACGTGGCGAGGAAAAACTTTAACTACAACTGAATGGGGCTGGATTAAAAACATTCTAACGCGAGTGGTTATGACTGTTCAATTTATCAACTTATATCCTGCGGCTGTAAAAAGGGGTGTAGAAAGCGATGTAGCTGTGTAAAAGTTGGTTTGCGCTGCTCTAATTGTCATGGGCAAAGTTGTTTTAATTCGATCAAGGAGGGCGATTCTGCAGAGGAAATTGGATAAATAGATATATTTTAGTAGTGGAATCGGCCTAGGGAAACCACGTAAAAAAACGCGCCGAGAGCTTTACCTCAAAGGTGGCGTGGAAACGGGCTCAAACTGCATAAATATCTATTTTTATACGCACCTTGTAGAAAAACACTGCTCTTTAATTTCGACTCTATACATGTTTTTGCTCAGACTAATACTTTTCGAAATAATCGCGGAAAAGTATGCTTACTTCCCAAGGTCATTTACGAGCGTTGGGTGGAAGATACGCAAAAAACAATAAGGAATATTTTTAATTTAATGGGGAAGTTACGGTTTACGAGCAAAACGCTGAGGTCACGATTGGGGGTGGTTTTTTGCGCGAAAGGGGATGAAGCTCCCACCGGAGAGGTGGGAACTTTTCGGATATGTGTTTGGGTCCCTATTGAGAGTTCATAACCAAAATTTCAAAACTTTGTAAACTTTTCCTTTTAAAAGAGCTAATTTTCCTACACTAAAATTTACTAGAGCATTAAACATGTTCTTGTTTCGAGCATCAAGTAATGGTGTTATGTTTACCAGTAGAGGTATTTTCATTGTTGGCGTGGATTAAATTCATGTATGAGAAGATGTGGTTTGAATCACTGGACAAGTTATCACATTTACAGGTGGGCGACTCGGCTTAGCCAATTTTATTAAGGTGAGCGGGGAATATATTCACAATTGTAGTTCAGTATGCTAGGGAAATGGTCAGATCCCATTCTATCTGATGAAACGGACCACAACATTTGGCCTGCGTTGCCATTTCTTTTTTGATTTTGAATTGTTGCAAGTAAGAAGGACGCTCTTTGGAAATTGTAAAATGATCGATATGATTGACAGTAAAAACAAAAAATTAGATTCTGTACACCAGGCATGGGCAACCTTTTTTTACCAAGGGGCCCAAATACAATTTTTTATATGCGCCACGGGCCACAGTTGAAAATCCAAATAAAAAGTATGTTTAAAGAAATCAATAATTATCTATTTCGTTTTGACCTATTTTCTGCTTTCGTAAATATTATTAAAAAAAAACAATAAGTACTCTTGAAAGTTGATACGATTGGCATACAAAACTTACCAGACGTGGATAATAAATCTCCAAATTTTCATTTATTTGTTTTATTTTTTGCAATATATGGGTTAAAAATGTTGCTTAACCCCAAACACGTGTCGGTTTATTGCCCCACCCAGTATACATCGCAAGGAAAATTCTGGAAAATACCTGGCGATATCTCTGAAACAAGAAAAGTGTCTTCAAAGAGGCTTTCAAACGTTCGGAAGCCTCGGATCGCGTCCACTAGATGCTGCACGTGTAACATAATCATATTAATTAATTAATTCGAATTTTTAATGTAACCTGGCGGGCCGTATGAAGTATTAAGTATGAATTATGTTAGCGGTCCGGACAAAACTTATGTATATATTAAAAGAAGTTGTGTAGATCCAGTGGCGTGCGATATTTCCTGTTTTAGAGTACTACTCATATCACAGATAGAAACACACACTTTTAATGCTGATTTTTTTTGTTTAAATATTTATAGTTACTGGTCATGTCCAATTGCTCTGTTAATTTATCGATTGGCCTTGCCCAGTTCCATTAGATTTCAGTTTGTCAAATGCAGGAAAACAGATATTTATTTAATAATTTCAATTGCAACATAATGATCGTTTATTAAAGTCGCCTGAGTTTATTTTACAAATGAAAATCAAATTGATTGTGTATTAATATCATCACTTAAACAAAAATCGCTTTCATTAGAGTCATTTTCGCCTAAATCAATAATTAATCAAATATCAAGAACATGTTCTGATTTCATACACGGGGATTCCACTTTTTTTAGAATATTCGCATGGTGATTGTAGGACACTTGAACAATATTGACGAAATTTTGTTTCTGCTAACTTTTTAATATCGTGGAGCTTGAAGGTTTAATATCAGCCCAAATTCTTTCAATGGAATTCAATTCGGGATGATATAGCGGAAGTCGTACAACTGAATATCCAGAATCAACGGTATACTTTTTTCAGACTGAGAACTGTATTACTATAGTCAACTCCAGTTTGGTCATCTTTTTCGTATAGGGAATATCTTTGTCATCCAACCATCGTTGCATTTCTTCTATGGCTTTCTCTATTTGTGTGCTATACGCTATGTCTATAAGAAGATAGCGTTTAGAAACCCCTGAATTTTTTTTTGGTTTTTGAAATATTTTGAAAAAATGGTGGTTAAATGGTGTGCATATATTATTAGACGGATTCCTTGAGGACAACGTTCCCATAAAAACGAATTAGTACCAATACTTTTAGAGGAAACCCCGATCAATTTCTAAACAGTTCGTAGTTATTCAAAGGCATTTTACAGGTCATACAAGTTGATTGTAATCATATTATGTAGCATCCAAATCTCTGCCGCTTAGTTAATTAATAACATGGCGCAGTGCAATGAACGCCCCAATGATTTTTTCTTTCTCAAAAAGTGTCGCGAATTTCTTTCAAGAATAAAAATTCTCCTAGCATAACATTTTATCTTTGCCAAATCTTGTCGGAAGCAGGATGGATAACTTTAAATAGAAATTCGATGAGAAAACTGTTTAATGCCATTCCTTTATAACTTTTAAAAGTTTTAAACTTTTTACTACACCGAGTGTACACCTAGTTACTTATTTATCCCGAAATACATAAAATAAACTAGGTAGTTACTTTGAATCTCTATACGATTACTTAAACTGGAACGCAATGCTTCGCTTTTTCTGCGGTTCTCCCAATACAGCTTATTTTTCATAACATTAAGTACAAGCAGTCAATTACACGGTCATTATGCACGACTGATGGAAAACTCGGAATTATTTATTTTTTGGGGCTGTATTTATCACATACTTTATACTAGGTAAAACCTGTATAAAAGCACAAGTACATTTAAAACTCGAAACTCAATAAATTCTGCGTTTGTAAATTTTAAATTTACTGCCCTGCATTACTACAGTCGAAGCTCTAGTATTCAAACAAGTTGTAAATTCTATTCTGCATTTTCTAATTAACATATGCAAAACCGTGTACCAATTTTCTCTTTTTCTATTTATAACCACGAAGCTTAACTTGCTTGCTACAATCAAGTAAAATCCAAGAATGACAATTTTATTGATCCTTAGAGTTCAATAAAACTAGCATGTCAGGGTGTTTTACAGTTTTCAGCATTGCTTATTTTGTTTATTGCCATTGTTGATGTGAATCAATTTAAAAGGCGCATTACTGTAGACAATGTTACACATTTCATCATGACGGAAAGGAAAATGCATGTAAATGATAATTTCTGAGATACAGCGGTTGCTCTAGCATTCGGTTCATCTCCAGCTGCAATCATTTTTCTTCTGGTAATCAGGAAACAATAATGGCATAAACAAGCTACGTTACAGGCCGTTTTCAATTCTTAGAACTCTTTCTATATTGTTTTGCTCTTGTGACTTCTCTTTAGCTAATATCTACTTTCAGAGACGAGACACAGATTCATTTTGATTTAGTCCGCCGATTGCGTCATTATGTATAAACGCTGCAAGTAATCTTGGTTTTTGATTCGTTGGATGTAGTGGTCAGTCAGTTATCATATATTATAGCTCGGCCTGAGGATGACCATACCTGGTCAAAATCGATAGCCACA